GGGGGGGGGGGGGTAGGAAAGGCAATTGTCCCCATGTGCTTTTTTTTCGGGCAATTACGGGCGGCACAGGGAAATGGAGGAGTTTTTCGCATGGGCAGTTACAGGCGGCACAGACGTCAATGGGTTAAAATGAACAAAACTCAGGATAAAATACCACAATAAATTTAAAACCGTCTTGACAAACGGTAATTGTAAGTTCTTTTTGGGCAAAACACAAGCATGAAACACACACACTACTAAGATTATGTCTTATCAAGTTTTTGTCTGCTCATATTCTGCAAAGGGGAAAAGGCCTAGTTGACTACCAAGGGAGAGAACAGCAGGGGTGAGGACCTGTGTGACTACTGCATCAGAGCCGTAAATTGCCCTCTGCACTATCCGAGATTGTCTCAGTAGTTTTCCTTTAGCTTGTATTGTCCATTCATGGGGTTAGTTTGACATTGGACATGAGTTACGTGTGCAGTAAGGATGTCAAGAAACATTTCACATGAACATCATTAATTCTGTGTACTGGTAGACAACTGTTTTTTGTGTTTTGTGTTTTGCTAGGAGAACTACCAAGAATTGATTCAATGAAGGAATTTCTGAGGTACATGCGTAGAAGCAGAGAGAAATTTGCCATGCAACAGAGATCCAGAAAGACAAATGAGAAGGCCTCCCTTGTCAAGTTCATGGCAACAAGTGTTGTAGATTTTCTCACTGAGGGTATGAAAAGTTTTTGCACTAGTCCATGTCAGGATGAAATGTCTAATAAGGACAATGAACATAGTACTCAGGCATGTACATCTCCACCTACTGTGGTGGCTGCTATGGGAAACCAACAGTTAAGAGGCCAGGTTAGTATTCATGTTGTTGTCTTTGTTGTGACATATGTACATAGTGTACACTTAACAAATTGACATCAGTTTTTCGTGCATCTGTCCTGTTATTGATCTGAATTTTGTCATAACATTGTCAAATTGTCTGCTCTTGCTCATTGATGCATTACATAAATTATAAATTGATGTGTTTGTCCGCTCATTTACAAAGAAAATCGTAAAAAATATTGTTAACATTGTGTATGTCCATTTTATCATGTGCACTAAAAAAGGAGTTAAGTATTTAATAGGAAATACATGTATAGGGAGTAACATTATTCAACATTTTGATGTATCCAGCATCATTATAAAGACTAAAAATCCTTGAATGTCAAAGTTGTTGAGTTATGAATACCATTAAGTGGCATTCCTGTGTGCGTGACAATTTTTCGGTCCTCAAAGAGTGTTTTACTAAACTAGACTACCTTATTTACAAAATGTTGTTTATACAAGATCTCAAACCATCATTGATTGTGCAATCAGACTTGATTTGCACAAAGCCATGCCATTAGCATAAAATATCATGCACATAACTAAACTCTTTTAACAACTTTGACATTCAACAGTTTTTTCTTCATCATGATGTTGTATACATCCAAACGTTAAATTATGTTACTCCTTATTTTTTTGTTAAATGCTTTAACATTTGATATCTTAGAGGAAAATGTCAGTAAAAATCAGATATGATCATCAAAATCGCCAACACAGCCAAAAATCAATTTTACTCATACTTTTTATATTAATAGACCCTTGTGCAGGCTTTTAGCCAGGTGGCTGTCTGGCCGTTCAGGGAATGGCCACTTTTCAGGAAGAAAAATATTAATATTAAATAAATAAAGTAGAGTCTTGTTGATTTGCAGTCGGTAATTTTATAATAGTTCGAACAAATTCACTTGATTCCTAAAGTGATTCTGGAAATGCTTTTCGAACAGACCATCTCACCATTACCTTTTTTTGCTTTAGTCTCCTTTGGATACTTCATACATATAGGTGAATACCAGGCACTCTTCCCATTTACTTCCTTGTATAGCAAGACATGTGTTAATGAACCGATTTCACTGAAAGGAACTTTGTGTAACCAGCAAGAACCATTCCATCTGAGGCGCGACTTGTGAACCAGTACATGTTGTTTCACAATTGTCTTTACAGTGACCACAATTGTTTATTTAAAAAACCTTTGCCATGCAACAATCTTTGCTAAGTTTTTGTGTGAAACACAACTGATGAGTGTAGTAGGGGCAGAGGCAACTTCAGTTTCAATCTGTTTTAGGTTTTTGGCAATGAAAACAATGCATTATCATTCAAGTCCAGTCGATACATTTATCAGCTGGAAATCACGGAAAACACACCTAAGACTCTTCAATTTTTCAAAATTTTCTAGGGATCTGCCACCAGACGTGACCCTCCATATGAAAAGGGGGCTTATGGTAATTTTCAAAAAACACATTTAAACGTCATTTAAACGGTTTTCAAATATGTTTCAAATGGTTTTTTCAAACTCATCAATAATCCATCAAGTTTAAACAAAGGAAATCATGACCGTGACTACAATGGCAATATTTTCTGAGACACCCCAATCGACTCGTAAATTAACAGAGAAAAAAGGGAGCTGACCGGTTGTGTTGAACCGGTCTCTTGACAAAATGTTAGTTTATCCAAACATGATCAAAGAGCATTAATTTTGTAAACATAATATATACTTGTATCTAGCGGTCGCTGATTTAGTTGGGCGAATCTTTCGATACAGACGCTACTTTACTAATGGAAGGTGTATTTCGATGTGAACTTAATGGTTTATTTTAGCACTAGCAGCATCGATAGTACGACCTATTTTAATGTTTTGGTTTCAAAAAGGAGAGAAATTAACAGGAAAAAAAAGGGGCTGATGTTGTGTCAAAGCGGTCGGACAACAAAATATTAACGTTCGCAATGCGCAGCGCTTTTATCGCATGTGCAAAGGAGACAACATGACGGCCTTCCATAAAAGCAATACTCGTATCGGCTCGAACAACTGGGTCGCTGATATTCACTTTTTGAAAACACTGCACGTTCAAATGCTCAAACTTCGCTTTAAAAAGAGACCTTGAAAAGTTTATCAACCGCGGCATCGATAAATGGGCGAATCTTCCGATACACTCGGAATGTTATTAAGCAGTATTAAGTGATTTAGGGCCTCTTTATATGAGTCCGGTAACCGCGCTGGCTCAACTGTGTACTGTGCTTTGCTTGTTTCAGTTGTTGGTTTTCTTGGCTGGGCGAATCAGACTTCGATTTCCAACTAAAAATAATCAGCAATAAAAGGAAAAAAAAGAAAAGCCGTCCAAGACGGGTTGTCAAGTGTAGGAAGAGTGTCTTTGTCAGTGTTGAACCAGCGAATCTGACTAGCAATATCTCAACAACCTTGTGCCTTACCGACTGAGCTATGAGTGCTAATGATCCATTTGCAATGAAATTTTGTGTACATAAAAGAATTTGTCCGCGTGGCATGCGTGTGTGTTTTCACGCCATTCAGCGAAGCGATTGCAAACTCGATGATCGTTTCAAACAGAGCTTGATGACGAACCAGAGCAACAATTTGCAGAAGATCGTTTCAATCAATTAAAATAAAATCTGTCCGTGACGGTTGTCAAGTAAAGGAAAAAATGTCGAATCCAGCGTTGAACCAGCGGATCTGACTGGCATTGTTCAGCGGTTTAAATCGACAAATAGGTTTTTCTTGTTAACAAAAATATAATAAAACGAAGAGGGGAAAAAAAAAAACCGGGAAAAATTGAGGATTTGAACTGACGTCCTATACCGTATTTCATCACATGCATGCGCTTTAACAGAGAATGGCAAATTTACATAATGATTTCTTTTTTTGCGCTTCATTGCACACCATTCAACGACTCTTGGATATTTTGGCTTCGATTTTCTTGAAAACGAAAAGCAAACTGGCAAAAAAACAGCAAGGCATTGTTAGGTAAGTAAATTGAAAGCCATATGCAAAAAATTGGGCACTTTTGTTGAAAAAAATTTTTTGACCTAAATAGTCACTTAGGAGGGTTTTCCACTAGCATCTTCAATTATCTGATCTTAGTTAGCTCAGATTTCTACAATTTCATTTTTCCGTTTTCTCCTTAGTTGTAGTTTTGATTGAGAAGATATATCAAACACTCAAGACAGTGTTTAACCACATTTCCAAACACCTCAGAGTTTGTCAAGAATACTCCACTACACGTCATATTTTCAACTCTCTTCTCGGTGTTTGGAAATGTGGTCAAACACGGTCTTTCGTATTTGATATAATTTATTACTTCAAACATGTTTGTAATGGTTTTCACAAAAACTGTTTCAAACACTTTTCACGTGTGTTTGAAACAGTTTTTAAAAAAATGTTTGAAACTGTTTTCAAACATGTTTCTAAATACTGTCTGGCACTTGCTGTCTGTCTTGTGACTGTTTGATAGCCTTCTTTACTTAAAGTGGGTGTTCAATGAATTTTTCAACTTTTTTGAAGAGAAATAAAAATTGGACATGAGTTCGAGACAATTACCGCTTTGCACACCTTTTTTATGCCGGAGACTGTAACATGTTTAAGGATAATTACATTGTATAGTCCTCAGAAAATGCAACTCAGAAAAAAATTAATGTTATTTTGGACATGAAAGCAGTGTTGTCCTCTCCGGAAGTCGCAGCATGTGCTTTTGTTTACACGTTGTATACATCGTGGGCCATATATGTTTTTATCATTGGTAACCCGGCACTACATGGTCAGCAATATCTTGTTTTAAAAATATGCCTCTGGAAGAAAAATTTTCTCTCTGTATTTTAACTAAAGACCTTCAGAAGGGCTGACCAGATGTTGAGTATTTGCATACTCGCAGGCCAAATTCAGTGATTCATGACCAGAGGTGTTGAATATCAACTGTCAACAAAATGGGACTGATGACAAACTTGATATTACAAATATGAGCAGAAAAGTTTTCTTCATTCAAGTAAAAGGTTTCGTTCAAATGAACTTGGTATCCAGATATAAGCTTTAATAAGTAAGGCCAATTTGTTTATAAGTTATTCCACACTCAAAAAAAATTACCCATAGCAAAAAAATAAATGTCTGTTTGACAAACTAAAAAAAATATTTTTCTCACTTACCCTTTGCATCGTGTACATATTGGCATGCCACAAGCGTTTAAACATGTTGATGAAAACCACCTAACAATTTGGTTTGAAATATAATAATCAGCAGTCTCTCTTTTGGTCAAAAATCCATGGGGAAGAACGCAAAACAACTGAGCACGTGAGTGTGACTGGTAGCATGACATGTGAGCAGCGAGCGGCTTTGGTCACTAAACATTTCCTGTTTGGACAGGGCCTAACCTTCTGTCTTTGCAATTTCAACTCTGTTTGTGCACTGATGTGCGATGCTCTTCTTGCTTGCTCTGATTCTTTGATTTTTAATAGGAGGAATGGCAGTTTTTTTCTGCTTCAAGAAAAACCGACAGCAATGTGGTTGTGGTTGTGCTTGTGCTTATGCTCATGCTCACGTCACTAATGAAAACCAGGCTTTAGGTAACCCTCAGTCAGCTTTTCCTCACCGCAATAGACTTGATAGAGGAGAAAGAAAACGAGAAACGTGAAAAAATAAGAATAAAAAAAAATTGCAGGTCTTCAAGGTTTACTGTTTTGTGCATATCCAAAACATAAAAGACAAGTTCTGTGCCATGTCGTTGCATGGGTGTCAATCCCTGAGGTGTCTATTTGCATTGAAAATCTATCAGTGGACACAAAACCTTTTAGTACATTAATATGGCGGACAAATTCATGAGTAAAATCAAATTAATGGTTTCACATAAAGCATACAATTTGAAAAATTTAGGCTTTTAGACTGATTCCTTCAACAAAGTTAGTTTATAATCTATTCTGGTTGATCCATAAGAATTGATGTGCCATTGATTTACGTTGCCGAAACTTTATAATTTCGCCACATTCCCATTCTACAATTACTTTTCATACATAAAAATATTTTATGCAATGACTTCACTTCACACTACTTTTTCCTACATTTATTCGCTAATCAAAACTTGTTGGATAGAATTTTTAATAGCACCAATGAGAGGACTGTTAAAAATGCCAAGAAGAAAAACAAACTGATATGATTACTCGTAAAGAAACCATTTGCAGTAGTAATACGACAAGCTTATAGAAGGTTTCAGTTAATAAATTCATTTGAAATGCGACAATCGTTTGTAGAAAACAACAGAGGGTTTAAACAATAAATCAAACATGTTTCAAACAGTCATGTTTGAAACGTGTTTGAAACACTTTGATAAATAATGTTTAAACAGTCATGTTTAAATGTTTTCATCTATGTATACTCCAAGAGATTTCGTAAATTCTACTTGTTTAATAGAATTACTGTTGATAGTAAAAGACTGGAGTCTATTAAAAGTATTTAACCTTTGCTTTGAACCAATCAACATAAACTCAGTCTTTGACTTATTAAGAGTGAGTTTATATGCCATTAACCATTCAGTTATTTTAGTTAGATCATCATTCATATTTTCCTCTAGATGTTAATGCAGTAATTTTGTTTTTAGATGTTAATGCAGTAATTGAACATATTTCCAAAAAAATTGCCTCCTGCATTGGCATCTTGAAGAGAAGCAGGTCTTTTGTTCCTTTTGAAAGAAAATGGAAATATGGTAAAATAAATTAAGGTGAAACTTCGTTTCCGTCTTGTGTAGAAAATAAATTCAATTGGAGGTAAATTCTAGCAGATATTTGCTTGTTCACAAGAGACCTGTCAATTTGTTTGTACAAGATAATGTTATTTGGTGAGTACTGTAGCGTGAAGTTGTGTATATCCTTTCTGGGCAGTTCAGTTATGCTGGTTCTACTTTTACGAATATGTAATCATATATAAATATATGACAGCTATATGACCTTCCTATTGAACCCCGAAAGTAATGGTCCCCCTGAAAGTAACTCTCTGTTCTCAAGGGCAATGTGGATGGAGCACTCTGACTGCAGGACTGAACAACTTGAAGAGTTATTTGTGATTTCATTTCGAACTTAACTGAATTTTTCTTGAAAAATTAAATCCTATGAAAATAAAATTATCCTATAAGTATTTGAGTATGTTTGATTGGCCCTTGATGTTATGGGTGAACTTGCCTGTTGATACAATTCATCAATAAATTGGTAACATGTTTGTCACGGGTATGAAGATCAAGCCCACAGGTGAATCAAAACTTTCTGACCACCCTGTGTAGTACATTTGTGATAATTATTAAACTTTTTAAGTCTTAGCTTTGAAATGTCAGGTTTTTGAAAACATCGTTAATTAAGTGTCAAGTGAAGGTATGCTTTTTCCTGTAGGTGAGACTGACTGCTCTAAAGCAAATCCTTGCACTTCTTCACAGTGGCAAGGATCCTTCCTGTGCTGCAGTGTCAGACAGTGGTTATGGTTCTCCTCTCAATCTGCAGTCCCTCTTATTGTCAGCTCAGTTGCAGCTATTACTTGGTACCCTTGGTCCAGAGGTTGTGCGATCCTCTTCACAAGGGGAAATTGAAGGATGTCTTCTTCTTCATTACCAGGTTTACATACTTCAATGGTGTTGAAACTGTTTTTGTTCCTGGTATTTATTGCATGTACAATTTAGCTTTTATTGCTCTTTTACTGATGTACAAGCTAAGAGATGGTCTATTAATTTCATTGTATGAATGTCCAAATAGGATGACATAAAAGCCACCAGCAGAAAGCTCCAAGATGAAATTCAGGAAGCAGTCCATTACCTGTACCAAAGTCTTGCTGCAATCCTGGAGAGGGCAAATCATCCAACATGTGGAAAAGGTTCTTATGTGTTGTATTTTGTTGGACGTATGTTAGTAAGCATGTTTAGCAAGCATTCCCATGTGCATCAGAGTTTACATTGGGGTCAAATGCAAAAATAAATGGGATAAGGGGTAGGGTGGGTAAGTTTTCACTTGTCTCAATTTAATGAGAGTGATGGGGGTGATTGATGATGTGAAATTAATGCAGAATAGAGCATACAATCCTGTTAATATCTATTCAAAAGTTAAGTAAAATTCCTCTTAATGTTTATGTTATTAGCATCCCCCAGTTGTTTAAAGTGCCACTAACCCCAAAATATTTTTTTCCTTTAATAAAATCTACTAGTTTCCCTGATTACTTCAGTGAAAAAAGTTATCTTGATTGATAAAATCCCTGCGTTTCTACAGGCGTTTAAACATGTAATTTCTATGTTCACGACTGCGCAAAGTGGGATCTGGGTTGGGCTACTAGTGACGTCACTTCAGGAACCGGGCTAAAACACTCCAGAGACTTTTGACTGAGCTTTGAGGGCAGTCAAAACATTTTCGGGTTATTTGTGATTCATACATGTATTTTATCAAAACTGGACAAGAACTGCAAGTGAAAGAACTGTATCATCTAGCATTACAATTCGGAGTCTAGCTGCGATTTGGACAGCTGTGAAGTACATATTTTTTTCCATTTTGAAGTGCGGGTTGCCAGTCGAGATCGCCACGTTGTATAATTATATTTAGGCCAGGATCGTTGATTTGCTGGTCCATTTGGGTCATAAAGGTACAAACACTGACTGAAGAGTTAGCTTACAGCTCTTAAAGAGTTACAAAGATGTCAATGAACACGAAGAGTTGGTAATTTGACTTTACGGAGCGTGCAAATTTCAGAGTGTCAAAACACATTTTACATTCAAATATTAATTACCCCCGAAATACAAGTACTCCACTCCTGCCTACCTCTCCAGATCAATGATTGAAAATAGTTTTAACATAAGAGATATGCAGAGATGTCGGCAAACAATATTTGAAGGTGAGGTAACTTTTTGCTTTGTTATTGTCGACTGACTGTAGTATATGCATATTCAATTACTGTGTACGAACACAAGCTACGCAAATTTGCATATTCCGTACTAGTGAAATCATGGAAAATCCTTCAACAAGATCGTGAAGATAGGTTCCATATACTTTCAGTTAAATGAATACATTTCTACTTCACTGTTATTTTGAATGAAATGTCCATTTTACGCACGCTAATAATCTGGGAGTCCTTGACTTATTAGTTTGCGTTTTGGTTGACTCACAAGCACATTCTTCTTTCACCACAACAATCTCCGTCGGTAGCTATAGGGTCGAATCTTAATTGTTGTTTCACTTTCCTCATATTATATTTATAAATGCTTGATCCATTCTAAGTTTGTAATTTAGATGTATTTTGTTCCTCAAAGACGAAGCTCAAAGAACAAAACAATTCTGTATTCGGAATGGCCATTGAGAAACATGGCCAGATTACAGGC